GAACCCGCCACCTTAGGTGTACATGGCTGGCGCCTTAGCCAGTTGAGCTATAGGCGCCGAGCCAAGTACTCCATTTTAAATGCCAAATTACAAACTTGGGTTCTTTTGTTCATAAGGTTGTACTTTATAAGCATATGAAATATAACATCATTAAAAATCCCCTTGTATATCATAACTCAAAGTACTTTTCAATGCTCAGGATCCTTTACCCATCATTTCGAACCTATGAAATTGAAAGAGTGGTCATGAATCCCTCCATGGTAATAGAACAAGAGCTCAACATCACCATGCAGGCTTTGGGAACACTTCAAACCGAGGTTAACAGCCTAGCATCTGTTGTAATTCAAAATCACCACATACTGGAAGCCTTGACAGCTCAACAAGGAAGAATTGTGCTGTTATTGGGGAAAAATGTGGTTATTATGCAAATCAATCAGGACAAATAGAGACTGATCTACATCTCTTAAAGGACAAGATAAACATTCTTCATCAAATTAACGAAGCAAAACCATTCTCTTGGACTAACCTCTTCCCAAGAATGGGACACTGGTTTAATGGGGTGTGGGAAATGTGCTCAGATCTGTTCTTTTCTGCTTATTCATTCTCATTCTAATTTATGTTCTTATATCTCTTTTCAAGCATCTTATTGTTGCAGGAAGATGAGGCCCAACAGAGAGAAAGAGCACCCAAACACCCGGTTTATAAGATGAAGGGAATGAAGGAGCTAAGAAAATTTCACCCCAAAATATGATTCCTTGGCATAAAGATTATTTTGAATTAAAGGCTATTCATAAATTATGCCCTAAGGTTATTTAAAGCACAATACCTTGTCTCTCCAGTTAATTTACTAATGAATCTGTTTCCCTCTATCTACCCATCCCCCACTTAGCAACCACTTGCTGCACATATACTTTCCAGTTTCTCTCCCCCTCCCTTCTAAAAGGCATCCTTAAAAGCCACCTACTATCACTGGGACTTTGGGAAATCATTCTTGTGGTGTTGTAACCCAGCCCTCTTTCCCCTGCCCTCTCCTGTTCCCCCCTTTCCTCCCTCCTCCTGTCCCCTGCCCTCTCCAGCCCATTTCCCTCCTCCTCCCTGCTCCCCCCAGAGTCAACTCTGGGAACAAGGCAAGTCCTTCCTCCCCCCAGGGTGGCTGAGCACATGCTTCCCAGCCCTGTTCCCAGGCTCCTTCCCCCTAGGGTTACCAAGAACAAGCTTCAGAACAAGGAAGAGAAGTCCCAAGGATCACAAAACCCCTAAGTTCTCAGTAGATGGACAATAGTAGAAAACTCAACGAGACGTAATTACTGTTGTATAACCGTAACCATTGTGATATGAGATATATCCATTGTTAACCAAAGCTGTATTAATCATTGTTGCATTACTATCCATGACTACCCGAGCTGTAACCCTCCTCAACCAGCCATGTTTCACTTCTGTAATGCTTGCACAAAACCCATAAAAAGCAACCCACACCCCTACTTGGCTGTTGCTGCCACCCAGTGCAGCAGCCCCTGTGGCAGGTAAAATAAATTACCAATTAATTACATCTAAGTGGGGGTCTGACTCTATCATTTCAGGTCATAGGGGTTACCAGAGTGGTTTCCCCCCATGCACATGGTGTTTGGAAATAAATCTTTCTCTTATTAAACTACCATGACTATGAGTTGATCTTTTCAGCAAACAACCCAGGAGAAAAGGATACATTTCCCTGAGACCCAAACAGTTTTAAACAGTCAAAACACACTAGGAAAACGTGTTTTTAACAATCAGTAGAATAGATTGAAGGGCAAAAGACCAGTTAGGAAAGTGGAGGAAAGAGGGAATGAAAACCTAAACTAGAACAATGTAAGTGAGAACAGAAAATATGAGAGATGGAGCCAAGACAGAGTGTCGAGGTAAAATTCATTATTACCTGGTGCTTGACAAGAATGTGGGACCGAAAGAGATTTAGAGACAAAACGTGGTTCTAATGTTCTCAAATAGGGAAAATGGAAGAAGGGCAGTTCCATTTACAGAGATGAAGAAGCAAGAGATACAGATTTAGGGAAGCTGAGCCAGGACTTGCAGGTGGATTCATAAACAAACAGCTGAGCATGTGGATTTGCAGCAGTTTAGGGGTGACCAGCTCCAGCTGTGACAGCAGATTCACACACTGCCTGGCAGCCCATTGTCTTTCACTCACATCTACTCTGCAGTTTTGTGGCCCTTTCAAAAGTCATTTCATGTGAAATGTGATGAGAAAGCCCTCAAAAGAGGGGGGGAAGAGAGAGAGAACCTGTTTTATGATCTATTTATAGATAAGGAAATGAAAGCTCAAAGAGGTGAGGGTCTTGTCAAAAGTATTGTAATGAAGTAACAAATCCAGGATGAGAACCCAGAGCTTCTGGTTCTGGATAAAACGCCTAACCAACTGTATATAAATGCATTACTAGTTTTAATTGCAGTAATTTGGTCTTTTGTCCTTCTTACTCAGTTTAGAGAAAAACTAGAGAAAAGTGTGGCAACAATATTCCTTGGCAATCCATTTGGCAATAACCACCACTGGTTATTAAATATCTTCAGTGTGGAGGAACAGCCCAGGTTCTAGAGAACTTCTCTACAATGAAGACGCACATTCTGTATCCATACTTTTGTTTTTTAAAGGCACTTGTTGGCCAACTTACCCTAAATACCCAAAATGCATAAACACTTGACGAGATCCATGGTTAGGAACAGACTTCCTAAAGACTTGTAATTCTGAAAAGGCAAAACTCTTCAAGATTTATGGGTCTCGGGGTGTGAGTTGCAAGGTAAAGCTGGGCTCTCAGCCCGGCCGGGGCGGGGGCGGGCAGGGCGGGACGTGGCCAGGCGGGGCCGGGAGGGGCCGGGCGGGGCATGGGCGGCCGCGGGACCAGCTCCCACCCGCTAGTCTGATCACAGCTCGCCGCGCCGCTCTCAGCCACAGCCTCGGTGCCTCGCTCAACTCCAGAATGGTAAGCCCCACTTTTTGTACCTATTAAATAAAACGAAAAGAGCAACAGCTTGCTTTCCTCCAGGCTCTATCTCGGATGTGTGTGCGGGTCTGGCAGGGCAGGAAATTCAAACCTCCGGGAGGGGGTCAGAAAAGAGAGGATGGAGGAAGCCCCAATTATAGCTGTTAACGACAGCCTAGAGGTGGCAGCCGAGGTTTTTTGCTTTCCCGGGGAAGATAAGGTCTAGGATCGGAGGAGAGGAAGTCTGCGAGGCGACCCGCAAGGGAACCACCTACGCGCCTCGCCGCCACTCGCAGGGCCGGAGGCGGCTCCCCAGCGGCCGCTTCCTTCTCTGCCTGGAATGCAACGAAGGCGACTTCCTGGGGCTGTGCTTCAGGTCCCCAGAAGGCCAGGGAAGCCTTGGCCAAAGCTAAAGACCGGGGAGTAGAATTCTGAGTCCAGAATTCTAGACCAGAAAAGGAACTTTCGTTGAGTCCCAGGGAAAAATCTAAGTTTCAGCAAGCGACCGGCAAGGGGCCAAGACCCACAGAGCCTGAAACCCCAGCCAGTGGCCGCGGGCGGAGCCGCCACCGAGAATGTGGGAGGAGCGGATCCGCCCGGGCCTCCTTCCTCCTCACTCTTCGTTGTGTCCCACCGCCTTTTCGTGCACTAGCTCCAGGACCAGTTTTTCTCCCCTCAGCTCCTTCTCCACGTGGAACTCCCTGTCTTTTCCACTAATCCACTTCCAAAATCTCCCTCTTTCTTTACCTCTCCTTAGTGGAGAGTGTCAGCCAACTCTGGCCCGTGGGTCAAATCGAGTTTTCTGTTCTACCCACAAGCTAAGAATGAACTTTACATGTGTAAATGGTTGAAAGAAAATCAAAAGAATTAACACTTTATGACATGGGAAAATTGTATGGAAACCAAGCTTCAGCGTCCATAAATAAAATGTTACTGGAACACCGCCACACCCATTCACGTCTGCACTGTTTGGGGTTGCAGTCCCGCTAGGGTGGGGCAGAGTGACGGAAGAGGAAGGTGTTGGTTAAGAAAGAGATTGCAATGCTGATTTTTTACTGTTACTTCTTTTTCATGTTCTTTTATTTTTTTCTTTCTTCGCATGCTGAGTCCATTTTTTAAGTTATTTCACAGTATCTGTTTATCGTTTTCTCCTTGCTATCAAGATCCCCACCAGATAAAACTCCGAGGGTGCAGTGAGGTGGAGAGACGGCTGGTTCTCCTCTCCTTCAGCCACGGCTCCAGCTGGGGCAAAGTCGTGTCATCTCCAGAGTCCCCTAGAGCTCAACAAATTGTGCAGTTCCATTTCAGTAATTTGATTGTGGAATTGTCTTTCTTTCTTTCACTTTGGAGAATGGGGCGGGGGGATGGTGCAAGGAGGTTTTAATTTTCTTCACGTGGCTTATAGTAACAGCAACAATTTACAAAAGAAAATAATCGTCTAAATTACATCAAGACTGATGTTAAGGAGAGAAAAAGTGTAAAGTAGAAAGGCACTTTGGCACTGGAAAATCAAAACGCTCTAAATTCTGCAAGGAAAAGAAGCAGGGCGAGCATCTGTATTTCTAGAAAAAGCTCACAAAGCCCGTGCTCCTTCACCAGCCTTCTTGTCATCTGGTAGTAGGACAGTGGGATCTTAGTCCTGATAAGAGCATATTGTGTAACAGGACAAACACTTCTGCTTCTAGACTGTGGTATTTTGTTTCTGTCCCCAAGTCCCTGAAACTAGCAATGATTTCCTTAAAAAAAAAAAAAAAAAAAGTTATCTTTAGAGAAAAAAAAAAAAACTCAATGTGATTATGGAGAAAGGATCCACCCGTGCACGGGTTAACGGGCTCCCGCAGACAGACAGTTGTAAAGGCTGAAAGAGGGACGGAGACCAACCGCAGCTGTGCCATTAAGGTCTCAGAGCAATCCTTACTTAGCACGTGTGAATTGCGGAGCCAGAAAGGTCTAGCTCTAGGCTCCAGGAAGTCCATCCTGAGAACAAATTAAGGCTAAATGTTAGGTTGCGGACGCCACCACCCAAGTTTAAGGCAGGGTTGGTACCAAGAGATGAAATCTCAGGGAAGGGCGTGGCCCCGGGTTTCCCGGCAAACCTGCACTTGCCGCCCTCGCCCAGCAGGGGGTGCCATGAGCGCCGCGCAGCGGAGCTCGGGCGGGGGCGGAAATGGCGGGACCTCCCTGAGAATCTGCGTCCCCGGCTTTGGAGAGCCCGGTTGTGAACATTCCTGGTTGGAAGTGGCTTCTAGAAAGTCCTGCTGGCTCTTCCCGTGGGAGGCGGCGCCCGAGACCAGACCCGGCCTGCTGCGCGTCCGTCTCCTCCCGCCGCGGTCTCCTCGCGGCTGCATTAATGCTTCCACACTCAAATATCAAACTTTGAACATGCGAAACGTTGGCAGGTCTCCCACCATGCACATTGACAGCTATGCTTTCGGTTTTCTTCAAGAAACTGTGAGTCTAGGAACCCAGTATTGCTCAGGCATTTCATTCTCACCAAAGCCCCTGTACAGTCTCGGAAAAGAAAATTATTCAATCTAGGACAGTGGTTCGCGCGCAGGTGGGTTCGTGGACTTGGTCACAGGTGTATTAATCTGCACTTCCTGACGTCACTCAGGCTGTGCGCTGCTTTGGGCCGTGCCCTTGGTGCTCCGAATCCACCCGCCACGTTTCATCCGCAACAAGTGGGCAAGGCCGGCTGGTTGCAGCTCACAGATGGACCTTCTGTGTTTGTCTTGGGCCCTGTAGCTCCCTGAAAAATGACCCAGTCTTTTAGGGAACTGCTGTGACCCAAAGTAAGGAGACAGGAGTCTCCAGTGCTGCTAGCATCTGGCCCCCTGCCCTCGTCTGAGCCCTGCGTTGTTTTCTCTCCAAAGGCAAAAGTCCCCAGCCCCACTGAGACCGAGCGGTGTATCGAGTCCCTGATCGCTGTGTTCCAGAAGTATGCTGGAAAGGATGGCTACAGCTACACCCTGTCCAAGACTGAGTTCCTGAACTTCATGAACACAGAGCTGGCTGCCTTCACAAAGGTCCTGGTCCCAGACTTCTCCCCACCCCATCCCACACTGCCCACAGCATGAAACAAGACCCTGGCAGAATGGGCAAGGACCAGAGCTGGCATCTGCTCCTCGTACCCTGGCCTCCTCACACTCCTTCCAAGATGAGTGGTCCACAGAGCAGGCCAGGCCAGGCCCCTGAGCCTCAGAGGACTCCCAGTGGCTTCTAAAGGGCCTATGCTTCTGCTTTTCTTTCAATTAAGAAGTGTTTTAAAGATTAAGGAGGTCAAACTGCATGACATGGGGAATGGTGATTGTTCTTCCGTTTAGGGAGAGAGGTATATGAAATGGTATATGACTCTATAGAACTGTTTTCTCATTTTATTCCTCCACCCCAGAGGCTCTAAGGCTACCCTGTCCAATAGAACGTTCTGCAGTGATGGAAATAATGTATATCTGGATTATCCGATATGGTAGTCAGCACTCACATGTGGCTAGTGTAACTGAACAACTTCCCAAATTAACTAAACTTAAGTGTAAATAGTGGCTGAGGTGAGAGAATCACTTGAAGTCCTCTTAGGCTGGACCAGCCTGAGCAAGAGTGAGACCACTGTCTCAATTTTTAAAAATGAATTAATTAAAAATAAATGTATAACCAGTGGTGATGAAAGTGTATATCTGCTGGGAGTCCCACGAGTGGAAGATGAGGCAGTTAGGGCTTGCACACTCTCTCTACCTGAAATCATTCCAGTTTTGTGTAACCCACAAATTGGAGTTGTGTGCAGCATTTGTAAGAAGCGTTCCATTGATTCTACAAAACTGAGTAGCTGTCATAGAAAGAACCCTGGACTAGGAGCAGGAAAACCTTGGCTTAAGCCCCAGGTCTACTTAGTCTGGTCACTTTCCCTTTTAGAGTCTGTTTCTCTGTCTGTTATATAGGAGTATTACTAATCCCTATCCTGTGCCTTACACTCCTGTGACAATAATTAAAGTGGTGGTATTATTATCTTTGCAGAATCAGAAGGATCCTGGCGTGCTTGACCGCATGATGAAGAAACTGGACCTCAACTCTGATGGGCAGTTAGATTTCCAAGAATTCCTTAATCTTATCGGAGGCATGGCTGTAGCTTGTCATGAGTCCTTTCTCAAGGCTGCCCATCCTCACAAGCGGATGTGAGGACCCCACCTGGCCTCCAAACCCACCCCATTTCCTTCCAGCTCCCATCATCAACCCCTTCTCAGAGCCCACACATCCCCTGAGCCCAGCACACCTACCACCCCATGCAGGCCTCACTTGCAGGTAGCAATAAAACAGTATCATTTTTTTAAAAACAGGAACTGGAGAGTAAGTGAATTTGTGTGAGGGTAGAATGTGGGAGGAATGTAAATCAGATTGATGGAAGCTATTACCAGGAGCTACATAGCAAATGGTAAAAATGCATCTCAGGTATGCATAGAATCCTGACTAATGATACAACCAGAATCTTCTCTAAATTACTTAGAACGGTGGAGAGGTCTCACTTTCTATTCACTTGTTAAATATCTGTCCACCTCCACCTCGGGCCCCATAGACACAACCAGAAAGACAGACAAGGTCTTGCCTTCACTGAGTGTAATTTCTAGTCCAGGGACAAAACCTGAATAAGTATACAAAGGACTATCAGAATGTTATAAATCCAAGGAGGAAAAAATTACAATTAAGTACATATTAAGTGGGGTTGGGGGAGGCACTAATCAGAGGAGATGACATTTGTGCCAATGGAGGTGAGGAATTCAGGAGAAGGAAAAGAAAGGGCAAAGGTGAGAAGGAACTGGGATGTCTGGGGAATAGAAAGGAGGCTACTGCTGCCAAGATCTTTTTTTTTTTTTTTTGAGACAGAGCCTTAAGCTATTCCCCTGGGTAGAGTGCTGTGGCATCACAGCTCACAGCAACCTCCAACTCCCGGGCTCAAGCGAGTCTCCTGCCTCTGCCTCCCAAGTAGCTGAGACCATAGGCACCTGCCACACGCCTGGCTATTTTTTGGTTGCAGCCATCATTGTTTGTTTGGCAGCCCAGGCTGGATTCGAACCTACCACCCTAGGTGTATGTAGCTGGCGCCTTAGCCACTTGAGCCACAGGCGCTGAGCCACCAAGGTCTTTATATTTAGCTGTTAACTCTAGTTTTCATTTTCTAAACCCTCTGAAAAAGCAGCAAAGAGTCCAGAGAGAATAAGAAGGCTGACCCAGGGTTAAATATGGCAGATTAGAGGAGAGAGGAGAGGCAGCTGTCAGCAGTGCACACTTATCCCCAAGAAGCACAGGGGGAAAGTGATGTTTCTGGAAAATCGGATTCCTCGGCTCAGCGCCTGTGGCTCAAGTGGCTAAGGTGCCAGCCACATACACCTAAGGTGGCGGGTTTGAATCCCCAGCCCAGGCCCGCCAAACAACAATGATGGCTGCAACCAAAAAATGGCCGGGTGTTGTGGCGGGCACCTGTGGTCCCAGCTACTTGGGAGGCTGAGGCAGGAGACTCTCTTGAGCCCAGGAGTTGGAGGTTGCTGTGAGCTGTGATGCCATACCACTCTACCCAGGGGGATAGCTTGAGGCTCTGTCTCAAAAAAAAAAAAAAAAAAAAGAAAGAAAATCTGATTCCTCATCCATCTATGTAAGTTTTAATTAATTAGTATAAATCTCTCTGGATTACAGTTTAGTCCTTCATAAACTGAGTAGAATAGCTTAGACAATTTCTGAGGTCATTTTTTGGCTCTGAAGTTCCAAACTGAAGACCAGTGCCTCAGACTAGCAGCAAGTCTAGATTTTTTTTTTTTTTTTTGAGACAGTCTCAAGCTGTCACCCTGGGTAGAGTGACATGGCATCATACCTCACAGCAACCTCCAACTCTTGGGCTTAAGCAATTCTCTTACCTCAGCCTCCCAAGTAGTTGGGACTGTATACAGGCACCCACCACAATGCCCAGCTATATTTGTTCTTGCCATTGTTTTAGCTGGCCCAGTCGGGTTCGAACGCATCAGCCTTGGCATACGTGGCTGGTGCCCTACCCACTGAGCTGAGGCACTACCAAGTCTAGATTTTTTGAGTTGAACTGTAGCTGCCTCTTCCAAGAGTTCCTTACCGTGCACTCACCATTCTACCAAAACCTCTATGCTACTGGTCACCAGTCCAGCAAGCTTCCATTCATCCTTCCTAACCTTTAGGGAAGTAGAAGCTTTGGATGTAGACATACATTGTTATGCCCAGGAGTTCCGCCAAAGACCACACAGCCAGACAAGTCAAATTAAAAGAGGAATCCTTTTATTGAAGAGCTGGCTGGGGACTGCCTCAGTGTCCCAACATGGGGTTTCTGAGAGCAGCCCCGAGTTGACTGAGACTCTGACTTTTATAAGAAAATATTTCCAGGGGGTAAGCAAGCATAGAAATGGCAGTTCGGGCAAATCATGAGGATAAAGTAGCTTAGTCAATTTATAATGCTATGATCACGAGAGCACTTAATTCTTTTTACAAAATAAATACAATATACAATGTCCTAAGGTAGTGTAGGGAGGGGGACTCACAGATGGGGATCATAAACAGCATATCACAAAAAGCGATAATCACCAAGGATATAATCAGAGTGCAGTCAGTAACCTACATCACTAACAATCTGAATTAAATACATTCACAGTTACACAATGGGAAGGCAAACAAGAGGAACCAGTTTCAAAGGTAATGGAATATAACAGATGTAGGATAATTTAATCTCCCACCTTACATGCACTCTTTTAATAAAAACTAGGAATTTGGGCAAAAGCAGTTTTGTGAAGTATTGTAAGCCTTGTCAGAAGCTTAAGCTGCCTTGGATAAGAAGGCAAACCAGAACCTGCAGAACAGGAAAACTTTCTGCATGGAACTCTGATTGCACTGTTGTTCACCCAAGCAGGTGGTGCTAATAGCCCTCTGTGCAGGGAACAATTCCAAGGTTATGTGTGTGATAAATCATTTTTCACCACGTCTCACAGCAGGTGACTTCCAAGGCTGCAAGAAAAACAGAATTGTTAAGCTTACTTCCTATAACTAAATTAAGGGCTTGTAAGAATAAATCACCCGCTTGCTCCATCTATTGAACTTTACAGAAATAAAAGTTTAGAATGCATAGTTGCTTCAGATATAATGTAGTTGTTTTTAAGTAGCTATGTTAGTTTTTTAGATTTGGTGTTTTCATTTAAGGTTGGAATCAGAGGCTCAGCGCCTGTGGCTCAAGCGGCTAGGGCGCCAGCCACATACACCTAAGGTGGCGGGTTCGAATCCCCAGCCCGGGCCCGCCAAACAACAATGATGGCTGCAACCAAAAAATGGCCAGGCGCTGTGGTGGGCGCCTGTGGTCCCAGCTGCTTGAGAGGCTGAGGCAGGAGACTCTCTTGAGCCCAGGAGTTGGAGGTTGCTGTGAGCGTGATGCCACGGCACTCTACCCAGGGGGATAGCTTGAGACTCTGTCTCAAGAAAAAAAAAAAAGGTTGGAATCAGAATTGAGAATGTTAATTATAGATTATTGATTAATGTGATGTACGTGACTTATTGATTATAAAAAGCTTTTGGAAATAAAGACGATTGCTACTTGCCATCCCATGAGCAATAGTCTGTTTCAAGCTTTCATACTATTTTAGGCGCAGACTTACACCTGGGGCCAGGCTCTCTCTGTTCTCTTACAGAACTTTCCACCAACAAACAGAAAAGGTGTAAACAGTAAAGTGGAGTCTTTTAACATTTCCATATCATATACAGATGGCACAAAGACCACCTTAACATAATACAAAGGTTGTTGTCACAAAGGTAGTTAGTGACTTTCTACATAATACTGATAATTCTAACAGTTCTAACCAGAAATACCATGCAATGGCTCTTTTTCCCCTCTTCCCCCTCACTATTCTCTACTCTCCCTCTCTCTCTTCTTTTCTCCACTCTCTCCTCATCTCTCTCTCCTCTTCTCTCTCCCCTCTTCTCTCTCCTCTCTTCTCTTCTCTTTTTCTCTCCTCCTTGGTGCTGCTCTGCAGCCTCGCTTCCCCACCAATAAAGACCTTTTGTACAAAAAAAAAAAAAAAAAAAAACATGGAATGGGTGGGGAGGCAAGTGGACCCCCCCCTTTTTTTAATGCAATAAAATGTAGCAAAACAACAGAATAGAATCAGGCCTGTTCTGCCTTTCCACTGATTCTCAGGAAAAGGAATTATATCAAAATGGAGTTAGGCTTGCTTCTCTAGAAGGAGCTGCCTAAGGCAGCAACTTGAGGATGTGGAAGTGCTAAGAGTCTTTCACTTTGTTTTACTTTTTTGGTTAGAGACCAGAGAATGCTTTTAGGAAGATGAAACACTTGAAGCCAGGTGATGTAGCTCTGCCCTGTAATCCTGGCACTCTAGGAAGCTGAGGAGGGTTAATAGCCTGAGCTCAGGAGTTCATAGACTCCTGAGCAAGAACAAGACCCTGCTCTACTAAAAATACAACAACCAAAAAAAAAAAAAAAAACCCTAGCCCGGCATTGTTGCATATCCCTGTAATCCCAACTACTCAGGAGGCTGAAGCAAGAAGATTATTCGAATCCAGAGTTTGAGGTTGCTGTGAGTTATGATGCCACAACACTCTACTCAGGGCAAGAGACTCCATCTAAAAAAAAAAAAAAATAGGATACACTTGACAAAATTTAAAGTGTTTGAAATGACTGCTATTTTGGTTGTTAGGGGATCAGCCAGAATTTCTTTCAAGAATTACAACTGTGCATTAGCTATTCATTACTGTATAACAAATCACCACAAGCTTAATGACATAAAACAACACAATTTCACTATTTCCCAGTTTCTGTAGTCTAGATCCTGGATGTGGCTTACCTGGGCTCCCTGCTTCAGGGTCTCTCAGAAAGCTACAGCCAATACGTCATCCAGGGCTACGGTCTCATTTGAGGTTCAACTGGGCAAGAACTGCCCCCAAGCTCACATAGCAGGATTCAGTTCCTCAAGGGCTGTTAGACAGTGGGCTTCAGCTTCTGGCTGACTGCTAATTGCAGGCATCCTCAGTTCCTTGCCAAATCAGGCTGACCATGCTTGTTTGATTAAAGCCTGCAAGCTAAGAAGTAACAGAGAATCTGCTACCAAAATGAAAGCCAAGTCCGATATAACCAAGTAGTGGAAGTGATACGTCATCACCTTTGCTGTATTCTATTGGTTAGAAGCAAGTCATAGGTTCTCCTCACACTCAGGGAGAAGGGATTGCACAAGAATGTGAATACAAGGAGGGGGAATTATGGGGGACCATCTTAGTGTTTACACACACAAGCTGTATAGTAAGAATTTAGCTCTGAGAATGAGAAAAC